CCCGGTGGCCTGCGGCGCTGGCCTTGGCATCAGCCGCTGCCCGCCACCCCGCGCTCTCCGCGTCCGCGCGGTAGCACACGGTACAGGTCCTCTTTTAAGGCGCCCCTCCTGCAAATGCTCCCTGCGCCTCGGCTTTCCCGGCCTGACTCCCTTGTTTTCCTCCTCTCTCTCCGGCCGCTGCCTTTCAACCTCAGAAGCCCCCTGCGGGCCGGGTCCTGAGCCAGTTCGCAAGACGCCCTGACCTTTCCCGAGGCTTCACAGCCCGCCCCCGCCCGGACCCTGGCCCCCGCAGCGCCCCACCTGTGTCTCCCCTGCATCCCACTGCCTGCTCCACGTCCCCACTTAACAGGCACCTCGCTCCCTCCTCAAACTGCTCCTCCTACAGCCTCCACTTTCTACCCCAAGGTTCCAAAACTCTAAGGTGCTTGGGCCAAAACCCTTGGGGGTGTTCTTGATTCCTCTCTGCCTCAACCCCACAGCAGTTCATCAAGTCCAGTTCATTCTGCTCTCAGATATCTCCACTCCACCCACAAGCCCAAGGCCCATCTTTTCTCACCCAAACTTGACCCTCTTTGGTCTTCTGAAGGAAATTAAATGATTTCCTAGCTCCAGCCTCAAACCCTCCGTGACTTCTCATTGCTCCTAAAATCCACACTCCCTACCTGGCCCAGCAAGTTCTGTGTGGCCCGGTCCCTTGCTCTCCCACTTCCTCTCTCACCACCTCCCCTTCACTCTCCATCTCCAGCCACAAGGCCTTTTTGTGTTACAGGTGGACCTCATCATAGTGCACTTGACCTCATTGTGCTTCACAGGTGTTGTGATTTTTTACAAACTGAAGGCAAGACCCTCCGTGACTCGCTTTATCATGATACCTGCTTTATTGAGGTGGTCTGGACCGGAACCTGCAATATCTCTGAGATATACCTGTATCTGAATAATTCATACTCTTTGTCTTCCTGAAGCCATTCTCTAGATTCGCCCCTGCAATCTAGCTGCCCCTGTCACAGAGAACTGCCCAAACAAAGACATCTGAGATCACAGTGGAGCCGGACAACCAGATATTGAGCCAAAGCAGGATTATTTACCACATTTCAGAGGTGAGGCCCAGCAGAGCATGCAGCAGATGCCAGAGAAAGATCCCGGTCGCCTCGGGGGTGTGTGTGTGTGTGTGTGTGTGTGTGTGTGTGTGTGTGTGTAGCAGTGACCGCTTAGGCAGCCCACCCAGCTAGGTGGTGATGGTGTCGCGCTGCCTCTGACTGTGTCTTGTTGTAGTAGTAACGTGTGTGTATGTGTGTTTTGATTCCATCGAATGCAGCCCCTAAGGAAGCTGAGTATTCAGCCTGACGTCCAGTGCCTGGTACTAGGAGGCTTCGGCCACCTAAGGAGGAGGCAAGCTGCTGAGATGGACTGCCACCTAGCGACAAGCCTTTAAAGTGGGAGGGAGGGAACTGAAGTTGACCTAATGCTGGACCCCAGTGCAGCAGTGCTTGCACACGTGTCTCACCTGATCCTCATAATTACCTTCTAATCAGGGATTATTGTCCCCAGTTTAATGGTGAGGAAACAGACTCAGAGTTCTGTAACTTGCCCAAAGCCACACAACTAACAAGAGGTGATTTGAACTCAAGTCTGTCTGACTCCATGCATTTGCTGCCTCAAAGAGAGCCACTGGCTTAAGTAGGTCAATAGTCAGTGGGCATGGAGGCTAGCTGGCTAATCGGTGTAGGTGAGGGGGGGCCTTGGGTATGGCTGGCCCAGGGCACATGGAACTCAGAAACTAAGTGCTCATGAAGTGTGGCTTGAGCTAGCTTGGGCTTAAGATGGTGCTGCCCCTGTCTGCAGCCCCTGAGCTTCCCTGTGTGGCCGCTGGTGGCATGAGTTGGGAAAATAAGAGAAACCCACCACCAGCCCTCCAGGAATTCATAGGCATTAAACAGTCAAACACTTGTTATGTAAGGTAAATTGGGATGAGAGCTACAGAGGGAAAGAAGAAAGGGCTATGAGATAAACATTAGAGAGCCCTACTTCAGATCTAGTAGGTAAGGAGGACCTCTCTAGGACTGAACAAAGGCCCAAAGGATGTGAGTAGATGGCCAGGTGAATTTTTAGGGGTAAGAAAGTACTTTCTAGAGGTAACAGCATGTACAAAGACCCTGAGGTTAGAAAGAGCTTAGTGGATTGAGGAATAGAAAGAAGGCTAGAGTTTACTAAGTATGGGGGAGCACTTGGAGAGCATTTGAAGTAAGGAAGACAGGTGCGGGCTGAATGGGGACCCTCCCTGCCTATCTGACTTTGTCCATTTTTCTAGGAGGACCCCTCCTAAGTGCTGCAGCTCTCCTTGAGCTTCTTATGCCAACTTGGGCAGCCTGTGGGCTGTGATGTACTTTTAAAGTCGGCTTTACTATTTTCTGAAGCTTCCATAATGCAGCTCATGCTTCCTTGCTTTTGCTTGTGTTTTGGTCTCTGGGGCCGGGCCCCCAGGGGCTTCAGAAATGCCTGCCAACAGAAGCTCGTATTTTCAGTTGGCTGCCAGGCCCTCCTTCGGGAAACAGGGCCCCACTTCCTCCTGGGACTTCTGAGCCAGCATCCCAGGCCTCAGGTGCCTCCCTCCACCAAAGGAGTTTCAGGAAAATCAGGGCGCACAAAGGGTGTGGCTGATATGGGCTTTCCCCAGCTCAGCATATACTAGTATATGGGTACGTGGGTGTCATTGGCAATGCGTGCAGCTGCACTGGCTGGGAGGGAGCAGCCTAGCACCCACTCAAGGCACATGCCCGTGACATCACCCAGGCTAGTCCTGCTTGGGCCTGTTTCTGCCAACACTCATGCTTCAAAATGCCCGGCTCCCACCAATACCTGTGCCTGGGGTCTGGGGAGGTGTCTCAGCCCACATGACCCTCTGGCGTTGTGGGCCTGGCCTCCCACGTATTCATTTACTAAACATTTAGAACAGTACTTAGCATATAGTAAGCCTAATAGAACAGCTATACTCAAATTGTCTCATTTACTCCTCATTGAGGTAAGTACTCTCATTATCCCCATCCTACAGATGAAAAACCAATGCATGGAGAGACATGTCCAAAAACACAGCTAGGAGGTGGCAGAGATGGGATTCAAACCCAGGCAGCCTGGCTCCATCAATTCTGTGTTACCTCCCATGTAGGTATGAACATTCTATTATATATCCTCACCCCTTTGCATAATACCCATACCTGCTGTTTTCTATTTTTAGTTATTTGGTGAAGTGCTGTCACAGGTTGGGTTTCTTTGGGAAGCAGATTCTACAGAGGTTCGTGTGCAGAATGTTTATTAGGGAGTGCCCTTGGCTGGGATCAGCACTCTGGAAAGGAGCTCCGGTGGCGCAATTGGTTAGTGCGCGGTACTGATACCACACCGTGGAAGGAAGAGGCACAGGGAGAGTCCCCAGGGAGCCCTGGCCAAATGGCTCTCTGCTGCTGAGGTGAGCTTAGGGAGCGGACAGCACTCAGCAGTTGGGGCAATAAGTGCATCCTTGTTGGGGAATCTGGGTGGCACACATCACTGTGCCCACCACAAATGTATTCTTTTCCAGCCCTTTAAAAAAAGTTTAGGGTACTTAAAGGGCACAAATATTGTAGTACAGAAATGGGATTTGCAGTTATAAAAGGAGAACTATAGTATGGTTAATATGGGTTAACATAGCTGCTGTGACTGAGAATCAGATGTAGCTGAGCTTCCTCGTAGCCAAAGCAAAAATTCTTTCTATTCTGATAACTGATAACTTAGGGGAGAAAAATTCTAGGGATAAACTATAAAAGAAGCTTCTCATATGGCCACTTACTTGTTTGAAATAGTGGAGAATGTTCTCAACAAATTTATAGCAAATGCTGCCAGTTTATTTGTTTCTGGTAATAACCATGAATAAATATATAGAAGGTATAAGATAACAGTATAGCTTAGTGGAGCCCCTTCTACCATTGATTTATAGATGGCAGTGTCTAATTTGATCCATTCATAAAACTTTATCCCTTTTCTTTAAAGTAATCTTTATATTTTACTCAGTAGTTTGTTAGATGTCTAACCAGCCCTTCTCAAGGGTTTTTGAGCCAGCCTGCACTTTGGTGTACAGCCAGTACTTACTTAGTAAGTACTCACCTCAGTGCACCTTGAGCTCCACCCCACCTTTGGTCTAGGCTCCTTGACCTCTGGCCCCAATATCTATCTATCTATGCCTCCTGCCTAGTCGTTGGACCTGACACTTCTTCAGTGATGTCCTGCTATCCTCCTCACCTGGAATGTACTCTTAGCCCCTTAAGAACCTCATGTTTTCTATCATTCAAGGCAAAACGAGGCCTGGCCCAGCCACATCCAGGGACTCTGCTCTCTCTGCAGACCCTTCGTTGCCTCTGCTGATGGGTCTCTATCCTGGGACCCAGAGAGGCAGGAGAGCTGGGCTCCAGATGTACCTTCTTCAGGGAGGTGGCAGGGATATGTTAATTGCTTCACTAAAGGAAGAGAAGGGGAGAGTCCTTGCCAGCCACTGGCCCAGGCCAGGGCAGACCTATTTTTCTGCTTTTCTCCTAACAAATACTCCTGGTGCCTCCTCTATAGCAGTAACACAACAGAGATGGATCAGACCAAGTTTCCACTCCAGTAGGGTCACAGAAATGCCAAACAGGGCAGTTCATTGTGATAAAGGCCCCTGGAAACTTGAGAAGGGACACAGACCTTACCTGACCTAGCCCTTTTATGGCTGAGGGGTTGGAGAAAAGTGAGAGACAGAGTATATGCCTGAATATATGGCAGGTCCAAATATAAGGTGATCACTCGTTTTTCCAAAAATGTCACTTCAGGTGTTCTGTGGCTTTTTTGCAACTAAAATATAAACATTTTTAGAGATGCAGGATTCAAATGACCACATATAAGTTTTAGTTACACATATCTTAAATCACATATTATTTGAAACAATATATTAACTTATGAATGTTACTTTCTTGCTCTTACTTTTGCAGTAATAATGTTAGAACTCTTTCTATGAATCTTTCATTTCTTTGTAGAAATCACTAGAGCCACTTTTGAGTCATCTAATTTCTGAAAGCACATCACTTTGCTGCCTTCTAAGTTGAGAGAGAGCACTTTTGAAAAATCAACTTTACTGAGAAATAATTTACCTATAATAAAATGCATCCATTTTAAGTGTAAAGTTTGGTGAGCTTTGGCAAATGTATACCACCCAATCAAGATGTAGAACATTCCCCTGCCCCTGACTTGGCCATCACTAATCTACTTTCTGTTACTACAGATTAGTTTTGCCCATTCTAGAATTTCATATACATGAAATCCTTAGTTATATACACCATTGTGTCTAAGTCCAGCATAAAGTTTTTGAGATTTGTCCACATTGATGAAGAGAGAATACTTTTTGAATTATGTGATGCTATCACTGGGAATTTTAACTAAGCCTTTTTGTATAGCATTTGTACAAAACAGGTTTTTTTTTCCATTCTCCCATAGCTATGTATTAGTATTCAGTTGGTCAGACAACCCACAGACCCCTTCTATAATGTTTTGACACAAATCTTAACTGTTATCCATAAATATTTCAGTGTTTTTTTCTAAGAGTTTTTAAAAAACTATATATAGAACTATAGTACCATTATCAAACCTAAAAAAAAATCAACACCATATTGCTATTTAAAATGACTGTTGAGAGGTTTGTTTACACGTAATACTTAGGATTGTGAGAAATAATTACTAAGTGTGTGGTCAATTTCTTTGCTTCCCTGTTTACTGATTCCGTCATGGGACTACTTATAATCATCCAAAAGTAGCTTGGCTGAGGTCATTTCAGGGTAATGTGTTTTCTCCAAAAAAGTGCTTTTTGGTTCACAACAAGTTTAGAGAGCATCTTATTACAGGAGGGATTTTGTAAGGACCCAAATGTAAGTAAACTCTTTTCTCAGATGATTTCAGAATCATTAATTTATTGGACTTGTGAGAAAGGAATGAAGGGTGATGGCTCCCCTGGGTTCCGGTTGAGGGACAGTGGATGGGTTTCACCATCCGGCTTGTAGTAGGTACTGAGCTCAGTTCTAGAGATTTGAGCTTGAGTAGCCCATGACACCCCCGCAAAGATGTAGTTGGCAATGTGTCTGGAAAGGGGTCTAGGCTGGAGCCTTCACGTTCAGGTGTGAATGAAACCAGGCTGTGTGTGGAGTAACTGAGAAGCAACAGCCTGATAGAGGTAGGAGCAAAACGAGAAGGTGGTGTTGTGGAAGCCAGAGAGAAGTGCTTTAAAGGGGGTGGTCACGTATTGTATAATTTCACATTATGTGAGATGTCCAGTAAAGATAATTAACAGAGAAAGTAGACTAATGAAGGTTGGAGGTGGGGGGTAGCGAGGGATCTTACTGGGTGGATATTCAAAAACTAACTTACAGTGATGTCTGCACCACTCATTTGAAATAGGTGTATCTGGTGTATTTATGATACGTAAAATATACTTCAAGCAGTTTAAAAAATAGTAGTCAACTGCCCATTTACTGGTTTGGTCCTTCATTCATTGGTGAATGTGGTCAGATGGAGAGGGGAATTGGGGGCAAGACGGAGCAGAAGCTAGTTGCAGTGGGTGGGGAATGACAGGGTTGTGTCCATGACTCATTCCAGGTGCTTGTTTGTGAAATGGAGAGGGAGGGGGTGGTGGCTGGAAAGGGCTAGGAGTTGTGGTTTATTTTTTCATGTTTTAAATGTGTAAGAGGCCTCAGGTAGATTTGGCAGGGAGAACGGACAGGACCTGCTGACCAGATGAGGGGGTAAGAGGGAGAGTAGCCAAGGAAGCACCAAGCTGTCTGGCACGGGAAGCACAGCACGTAAACGCAATCTCCCTTTGCCCGCAGCCGGACTCAAGCATCACAGAAAGGCCTGACAGGAGGAAGTTGTTATAAAAAAAACATAGCTGGGAGGAGGGAACCAATCAGTGGGTAAACAGGCAAAGGAGGCAGTCTCCTGACTCCATGGTCAAGCATCCTTCAGGGCCCTTCACATCTGGCCTTCCCCTACCTGTTCAGCCTCTTCCCTCATGCCCAGTAGCCAGGCCAGCTTCCCATTCTCTGACTTCCTCTTTGAGTCCTGTTGCCACCATTCAGGATACTCTTCACAGTTGTTCTTAACCACCACCTAGTTGCCCTGCATCTGCCCCCAGAAGACTGGAAAAGGTAGGCAAAAGTTCCTGCTCATTAATAAAATCTTCTGCCTGCAAGGCCTCCTGTCCGATTTCTGGTTGTGGACCAAAGTTTGTGTCCTAGTTGTGGCAGGTCCTGCTCAAATCCCAAACCTGAGGTCCACTTTCTTATCACCCACCCACCAGTCATAAAGCTTATCAGTTGGGCACTGAAAGATCCTCTCTGTTGCTCTTCCTTACACTCAGTGGTCTAGCTACACCACCCAATTTAAAAATACCTGGCTGGAAAAAACAAACAAACCAAAAACCTGACTGCAATCTCTAGCTCCAAAGCCATGGTGGCTACTTAGCCTCCTTTAATCCCTGGGGTGAATGCTACTCCCCCTCCCCCCGCCACTGGCCAATGAAATGCAGGCTGCCAAAAAAGGAGCCCCGCCCTCCCCCAATTATCTGCAGTGGGCCCAGCCCCTGGGAGTTGAGAGACTATCAAGGAGATGGCTCTGCTCCCGAACATACTTGCACTTGCTAGCAGGAGGGCATACAGCTAAGTGACCAATTCTGACCACTCTGGCCTTCCTGCTCCATTGGACCCGGAGATCTCATCCTTCACCCTGAATTCCAGACTTCACTGTAACTTAGGATGAGGAAAGGAACAATTTTTGTAGGGTCCCTGGTCAGCCTGGGTACCAGAGCACTGGGAAATGGTCACAGATCACTCTTTCTTTCAATCAATCAATCAATCAATGCAGTGAGAAGTCTGCATTCCACCAAGGAGAGGGCTTCTGGGATCCAGTGCCCTAACTGGCTTAGTACCCTCAATTCCTGCCCTCCTATTAAGTCTAGCCACACAAGCAAACCCAAAGCTCCCTACTGCTTCTGGCCAGCACACATGGAAAGTGCTCCCAAAATCTGCCTCCCAAATACACTTGCTCTAACCTTCTAATACAGTCCCTGCACCCCATCTGTTCTTGTAGACTTTCTGCACTCTCCCTCACTTCCTGGGCCTGCCTTCATTCTAAGGGTGTGGATTTTGACTCTCCTTTGACCTACACCCATGGCAGCAGGACTCCTGGGGAGGGACCCACCCTTGCTGACCAGAGTAGCCAGGCCAGACCACTTCTGTACCAAGTCAGTCCCAACCCCAGAGTCCCACTCTGGCCTGGAGCCCTAGGTAACAAAGAGGCAGACACTTAGTTTCCGTTAGGTTGTAGGAATTTATTTTAAATAACCTACAGTTGATTAAAAGGGAATTCATGATAAAAATAGAAGATACTTGAGGAGAGATGTGGGAAATGGACTCTGCACGCACACTAAACTAACAATGCCTCTAAAACTAATGATTATAGCAAAAAATGTTTTCACATTAAAATTCTGCTTTTTATGTGTTCTTTTTTTCCATTTTTTTTACACAATTACAAAAGAAAAAATAAAAGCCCTAAAATCTTGATTATTTTTCTTTTTTTGGACCAAATACTCATTTTCCTCTAGACTTATTGACCTGTGACACTTTTTATACAATAAAATCTTTCAGGTGAAAGACTGGGGTTTAAAATGAAAAAGATGTTATCTGAAAGGGTACAGAAAATGCTCAGAACAAAGGATGATGGGAAAATGGTTTCAGTCACTGATTATTTCATTATCCTTAGACTCACTCACCCCTCATCCCTCCCCGACCCCAATCTACACGATCTTTAAGATCAAGAAAAAGGTTTAAATATTTTAAAATAATTAAAAAGAAATAAAAATTCACATTTAAAAAGGAACACTCAAGTCAGGAAATATTTTCCCATCATGCTTTTCTGTGAACAGGTGTCTGAACCAAAACACTGCCAATGTCACAACTGCTTCAAGTTTAATGAAAATTGATTCCCATGACAATAGATATTGACAACTCTTAACAGGTGCGCCGGGTTTTTGTTCTACTTAATTTTAAATTCCTGAAATGGGGGAGAGGGGAGGGAGTTTAGGAATTCATTTCTATTAAAATATAGAAGTTATTGCAAAACCCTAACTGTAAAAACGCACCAATATAATCGGATTTTGTATACAGTAGCTAAGAGAATCCAAATGTGTCAGTGAAACAGTGAATTTGCCTGGCAGAACTCTGACAAATTCCCATCCACTTGCCCTCTTGAAAATAAAAACAAAATTCAAAACAAATCATACAGCTAGAATTTTGATATCTGAAATATTTTTAAATAAGTTGTCCATAGGACAACTGGCTCAGCTCTCCCTTATAATATCTTCAGGTTTATCTTTTCTCAAAGATGTTGGTTTGTTAAGACTTGCTGCCTCTCCCCCATCAGGTGTGAGGGCAAGCGAGGCTCACAGTTTATCCATCTTCTCCAAACCACACTGTTCCTTTTCACAGAACTGCTCCTCAAGACTGGCTAGAACTCATAGTCCTCGTCAGCCATGTCGATAGCCCAGGCAAACTTCTCCCGCTGGGTTTTGTTGTAAATTTTCTCAATTGGGACCCCCCACTTCTTGCACCTGCAAACAAGGGAGAAAAAGGGGGGTTTAGTGTCTCTGGGAGCAATAGCCCAAACCTGGGGCCAAGGCTTGGATGTGCTGCCTTCTTCACATGCATCTGGTGAGAACGAGAAAGTAGGTGCTACTACAAATGCACAAATGAGAAAGATACAGATAAAAAGACCAAGGTAGCCCTAACCGGCTTGGCTCAGTGGATAGAGCGTCAGCCTGTGGACTCAAGGGTCCCAGGTTCGATTCTGATCAAGGGCATGTACCTGGGTTGCAGGCACATTCCCAGTAGGGGGCGTGCAGGAGGCAGCTGAATCGATGTTTCTCTCTCATCGATGTTTCTAACTCGCTATCCCTTCCCTCTCCCTTCCTCTCTATAAAAAAATCAATAAAATATATTTAAAAAAAAACAAAACAACAAAAACCAAGGTAGAACAATTATGTTCTCATGCAGCTAATGAGCACAGAGCTGAAAACTGAACCTAAGCATCTGGCTCAAGTCCATAGTGCCTTGCAAACTAACCAATCCCCTGACACCAAACAGGGCAAAAGAGTAGGAAAAGGTACAAGAGTAGGATGGAAAAAGGCCTAGAAGAGTAGGTGCTACAAGGGATGATTCTTCTACCTAGGCCCAGAACTTAGCAACTCAAGGTAACTAATAAGCATCTTCATAAAAGCCACTTATTTGGGGATATTATTTTATGACTGTGTGTGTGTGGGGGGGGGGGGGGGGGTAGGGGATGGAGGAAGTGAGCAAACCATAGAAAATTTATCTGCCTTTGTTAAAAGGCCCCTCTAACTCTTTGTATAGGTTGCTTAAATCTGTGTTCTCATTTTTGTTTTTTCTCCTTGTCCCTACCTTTCTTCCTTCACTTGTAAATTATTTTATTGAAACACTAGCGGCCCAGTGCATGAAATTTGTGCCCAGGTAGGGTCTCTAGGCCTGGCAGACAAGCACGGCCGATCGGGGTCTTGCCTTCCTTTGTTCCACGCCGCCGCCTGGTGGTCAGCGCACATCATAGCAAGCAATTGAACTCCCTGTAGAACTCCCGAGGGGGCACTTTGTATATTAGCCTTTTATATGTATGAGATTTTGTTGAAGTGAGGGGTTCTTTTATATTTTTCCTTCAATACAGGTGAAGAGTTTCTATTTTTATTTAGGATGGGGACTGCACCTGCCTTTTAAAAACATACGTAAACACACTCAAAGGCACTGTAACAGCACTGACCACTGAAGTCCATCCAGACTGTTCTGATGCCTTTGCAGCACACACAGGCTGGCAGAGGTTTCCCAGAGCACTAGAAGTGCATGGTTCTCTCATAGTCCCACCACCCTTCTCAAGCCAGTAGCAAAGGGCTCAATGCTTACCAAGCCACTGAGATCCTTGGGTCCAGATAATTGAGTTTGGAGGTTCCCAAAGCAATCTGTTTATTCTCCTCTCGGTCTGTGGCCTGAACTTCAAGCTTCATCAACTGTTCCTCCAATCTCTGCACAGCCTTCTTCTTTGACTCTACCACCCTGGGAGAATGGATGTCATCAAGAACCACACCTGGCCTCTGGCAAGAACACTGCAATCCCACCCTGACACTTAGGTGGCAGTAAAAGCAGGAAAGTCCCAAGTACAGAGATTTCCAAAAAGCATCATTCTGAAACCCTAGAAAAGCTGGTGCCCAGAAACCTGGCCCATATTACACATGCTTTTTTCTCTCAACCAACCCTCAGCTTTGCACATCACCAGGCACATACTTTTTGGTCTTTGTATCCTTCATGACCTTGGCATCAGCTTTAGCACTTTTCAGGTCTCTCCGGGCATCTGCTAGCTGTTCCTTCTTGGCATCAATCTGGGTGGGGGAAGAACATCAATCAGTTTTAGGAATACAAGACGCTTAGAGAGAAGAAAAGAACTACTGTATCACAGAAGATGAAACCTAGACGTCTCCACCAGGCAGGCAGTCTCCCTTGGTGGTCTGCCAGGTAAAAACACCTAAGGGTGGCTTCATGAAAGCACAGCGTAGGTGCACAGTAACTGCTGAATTCAACTGCTATTTGGCCATTTATGTTCTTCAGTGACCCACCAAGAAATGAGCATTCTATAAGCAGAGATCCAGGGCTCCATTAATCCAGATGCTCAGGAAGAGAACCAGCTGGGACTAGGAATGTGGGTGCTAATCTTTTAGATGAATGTGGCCATAGACACCTGACAAGAAGGCTATAGACAAGCTGTTTATCCAATGGAACCTGAGCCAGGCCCTAGCCTTCATTCCAAGAATGCTGCAGCTGAGACAGGATCCTTGCACTAACTGAGCCCACTTCATTTCTTAGATTCTGCCAGCACTCTGGGAAGGAGCTGTCAGCTTCTAGAGAAGGATGTGTGAAGAGAATATCCAAGGGACTAAAAAATGGCAACTAAAAGGTCAGCTAGTCCATTCCAAGCTGATATACGGCATGTCCTGCCTTTGGCATTGTTTTCAAAAGGAGAGGGACCTGATCCCTGGCCGGGTGGCTCAGTTGGTTGGGGCATTGTCCCGTACATCAAAAGGTCATGGGTGCAATTCCAAGTCAGGGCACAAACCTAGGTTGCAGGTTCAGGGCCTGTACCGGAGGCAACCAATAGATTTTTCTCACATTGATGTCTCTCTCTCTCCCCTCTCTAAAATCAATAAACATATCCGCTGGTTAAGATTTGTAAAAAAAGATAGAGGTGAGCTGAGACGGGAAAAGTAGTACTCCTCAGAAACAGATTTGAAAACATTTTTAACAGTGGACCTCTTTTTCCAAATGAATCTCATGGAGTCCCAGTCTATAAAAAAAAAGACCAGGGCAGTTGCAACTTTTCTTGCTTGATAGAGCCCTTGAAAAACACCTCGAGAACCTAAGCTTTTCTCTGAGTTCCTGTTTGAGGATGGCAGTAGGCAACACCATGGAACTAGAACCCAAACCTGTGAGCTTTCGCTGCTGAGTGCAGGTACCCCTGACCTGCTCACCTTGCTTACCTGGAGGTCAAGGGGACCGCTGCAGAGTAAATGCATGCCTGATTCAAACACACTGGGCTGTTGCTCTCAGCCTAGAATTGCCTATTAGATGCACATACACAGCCCCAGATTGGAAACAGAGGCTACCATTGTGAAACAATCATTAAATGCATTTTACTATGAATGGCTTACTTCCAACATTTATGTTGTCCAAAGGCAAGCTGAAGGAACTGACTCTATACACAAAAGCATCACAGACACCATTAGCCAGATTCTTCTTAGGCTAAAAATGCAACACACCACAATCTTTTAACCATTTCTGTGAATGCTAAGTTGGCAGACTATGTCAAATTCTCTCAAAGCATCAAAGACTCCATTGATTCACTTGGCAAAGGGGCGTGTGTTTGCTTTGTGGGCACACAGGAGAGGGTTCCTGGGCCTGGAGGGCTCGTCTGGCAGGCAGCCTGGGCTGCCCAAGCAGTGGTTCCAGAGTGAGGTCAACAAAAGACCTCCTCATACTCCAGGGAGGGGTCTCCTGAATTAGGTAAACACCTGAATATTCATGCTTTTATTTCTGGCTCAGAACAACATGAAGAGAGTAAATGATACCAGGTGACAGCCATTTAACAGAGTGGCAGGAAACGGCAGCTGCTAGGAAGGGTGGTCTGTAAGGTTCTTTGCCTGCCAAACATATGGTCCAAGGATTTGAGAGCTCTGTGGACACATTCATTTACTGTGGATGTATGCATCCCTTCAGGTAAGTCAGGTAGCACCATAGGTTGTGCGTATCTTTTGACCCAGATGTACTACTCCTAGGTATTTATCTTGAAGACATTTCAACAGAACAAAATTTCATGATAGGCTTGAAAATATGTATGTGGTCTCACTCTATAGCAGTTTTTAAACTCCAGTTGTCCAAGTACAGAATTCTGTGAACATGGATGGAAAAAT